GTCGCTGTTTCATCGGGCAAGGGGTTACACACATATTGCCATAAAATGTGGGTAAAACAATGTCATGTTTACCATCCCCCAGGAAAATCAGCATGTTTATGACGGTGGGATTAGGTTACCATTCCCAGTCATTCGTGGTTTATGGCATTGTTTCACCCACATTAGTCGCTTAGCCGCTTAGGACTGCCCCCGATCTGGGTCATTTTTCCATGAATCCAGAGATTCAAGGTACAAATTTCGACAAATTTCCTGCCGAGTTTGGCCAAAAGCTTGAAATCTTACAGCTGCAGCATACGCCCATTCTTGTTTGTTTCTGACCCCATTGTGAAATGGGTGGGTCTGTGTGATTATCTTAGGCTTATCTCAAAAATGGCAATCATTCAGGAAAGTAATGGTTACTGTGCGGATGGACTGGGAGAAGCAGGGAGCAGAAGCGGATGCTTTGCTTTTGAGCAACGCATGCAGGCAGACATCTGATCCAGTGAATCAAGTCACACAGAATTCCAAGCCGGGGAATGCAGCCCCCAATGAATGTAAAGTCACCTACCACTCTACAAGATTCCGTTGAACTGGCTATCCTTTTGTCTCTGCTCCTCTTTGACAGAATCCCGAAAAGCCTCAAGGGCCGAAATCATTGAACAAACCGGAGCAGTGCAAGCGCTGCCGTCTGGCTCCGATGGTGTCCAGCGTGCCCATTGTATGCACGAGGGACGTGTCCTGGTATTGTGCCCACAGGGCACTGGCCCCTCCGAACCGCAGCGAATGTGTGCCCAAGTCGCTCTCTGGGAGATTCAGGCCCTTGGCCGCCCGTTCAATCAGGGCTTGGATCGCTGCTCTAGGGACTGGCTTGTCATCCCTAGTCCTGAACAGCAAGTCTTCTGCTTCATTTCCTCCTTGGTACCTTTGTGGGAAGTGCAAGTACAGTTGGATCAGGGCCTTGACTGCACACACCTCGTGCTCCGTGCGGAAATGATTTCTCACTTGGCCTCTGTTATAGATATCTGTTTTTGAGCCTCTCACAAGGAGCGTCACTTCGTCAGCTTCTGCGATCTGATCCAGACCCAGGGCGTTTCCATTCAGTATCCAAAAAAAATCGGGGGTCGAGCATCAGAATAATCCCGTGCCCCAAATGTGTTAAACACCCAAAAACCATCCAAAAACCATGGTTTAGTATACGGAATTTACACATTGGTGTTTTACATAAGAGAGGATGGAATTTTCCATTATCCAATATTATCCATATGACACCCATTAATGGATCCATTCGATAATATCCCCTCATATTATCAGATGGATTATCCCAAAAATTAAATACCCATAAATACCCATAATGGATTAATGGATAATATCCCCTCATATTATATCAATTATCATATGGATTATCCCAAAATTAAATACCCATTTGTTGTTATTTTCCATTGTTACCCCATTTTCCATTCCATGAAATCATCAATCCCATTCAATAACCACGACAAACAACACCAAGTCGTGGGAACTGATGGGCCATGGAAAGCAACAAACCTGAACCAAACAAAAAGCAACGGAAAATCCAAAAAGGGTGGCGAACTAGCCACGAATCCTAAGTAGGTTAGTTCACCCTGGATTTGAAGATGTGGGATTTTTGTAGGGTTAATCCACTTACAAGGGTTTTCACTAAGCTACTTACGATCCTGGATCGTAGTGAGCCACGGATCGTATTTATCGTCCTGGAGATGGAAATGACTGGACTATTTATAGTGAGATTTTTATCTCATCACTCCTGCAGTTTAAAACCTCATATGTATGGTAAAACCTCATATGGAAAAATCTATGGTAAAACTATGGTTAAACCATGGTTTCCTGGTTGGTGTTTGAGCCACCCTTCTGAAAAATGATGGAGTTCGTCAGTTGGGATGATGACATTCCCAAGTGTATGGAAAGTCATAAAAATTCATGTTCCAAACCACCAACCAGATGAATATGGACATGTCAAACATCTTCACCAAAATGAGATGATCTGACTGAGGATGTCAATGACGTTTGACAGAAACATAAATATAATCTATAATTTATTCATGTTAATGATCTATAGTTCATATATTTATGAATATGGACATATCATAGTTCATATATTTATGTTAATAGTTAATAATCTATAGATCATATATGTTAATGAACTTATATGCTATGTTTATTAGTAATTATTAGTATATGATTATTATCATCATACTATGTGTATCTATGTGTTCATATATGAATATGTTGTCTATAGCATACTAGTTCATATATGTTAATAATCTATAGTTTATGATGGTTATAGTTCAATGGATTTCTTTCATTTGAAACCTCCATTCTTGATGGGGATCTCCCAGCGTCAGCTATGGGCAGCTATGACCGGATGGGTTTTCTATGGTTTTCTCATAACCAGTAAGTAACCAGTATGAAGTATCATAGGAACCATTAAGAATAGATAATAATAACCATAATAACCATAGTTATTACATTATTGTATAGATAATAAGAATAATCCATGAATATGAAAAAAATATTTAGGAAACAACAGGTTTCATAACCAAATGAAAATTAATAATAGTTAATATGGTTTCATAACCATTCATAATAACTGCTTGGTGGTGCAATAACCACCTTGAAAAATGATGGAGTTCGTCAATGGGAAGGATAACATCCCATATACTGTGAGGGCCCATGGCCTTGAAGCTTCCAAGGTTTCATTTTAGGGGGCTGGAAATGTAGGCCCTGTATCAGTGATGGTTCCAAGCCGTGCTTGTCATAGTATAAACACTACAGGTTCACATAATACATATTTACAAACTGTTTCTTGATACTTTTACCAGAAAACTACCCAAACATCTTCACATGCAACGCAGATGGTACAGGAAATGCATCAGGGCAGCTGGGATGACCAATGGGTTCTGCAGCCTTTTTGCTACAAAAGCCTCAAGCGTTTGGAACCCACCGTGGTTCAGCTACTTCTCTTTTTACCATGTCGGATGATGCAGCTGCCACTGCACCAGCTGCCGCAGTGCCAGCTGGAGCTGCACCACTCACTCGTGGACAAGACCAGTTGCCAGCCTTACGCGCAGCAAGGGCCGTGCTGAAGCAGCAGCTGAAAGAATCGACCAAAGAGATTCGCAAGGAGCCAAATGTTCCGCCCTTGCCATTTTACCCTTGGTGTGGAGAACAGATTTTGGAGCCAAATCCTATAGACACGGAGCAAAATAAAGTTAAAACATTTCAAAATACTGTTAGGAGCTTGTTGAGCAAATCCCATAGGCACGGAGCCAAATAAGGTTAAGACATCTCAAAATACTGTTAGGAGCTTGTTGGGCAAATCCTATAGGCACGGAGCAAAATAAGGTTAAGAAAGTCCACATAATAAGAAAATGAATAGAATCATCTAATTCTTTTGATTGTGAATTTCCAGGTTCTTAACCTTATTTGCTCCAATTCCATTAGGATTGCAGTCCGGAAGTCTTCCCTGTATTTTTCGAATCCTTAACCTTATTTGCTTCACTTACATTGGGATTGCACTCTGGAAGTCTTACCCTTATTTCGCCACCCCTTACCCTGATTGCTCCATTTACATTAGGATTGCACCACGCAAATTGACACTCACCTCCCGGAGCCTCATCCTTATATCATCTCATCACACAATTTTCAGCATATTCGCCACATCCGGCAGCTCGGCTGCTGGCGGCTGTGGCGGCTGTGGCGGCTGCTGCTGGCTATGGCGGCTGCTGCTGGATGCAGCGGCTGTGGCGGCTGCTGCTGGCTGCGGCTGTGGTGGGTGCGGCAGCTTGGTGGATGCGGGTTGCTATGGCAGAGGCCATTGGCTTCAGCGCCATCACCTGGAGGGAGGGTTCACATCATATTGGCACTTGTTGGCTAGATTTTCCTCCTAAGTTTGCAAGTAGATGAGATTTGGCATTGGGTTGTTGCGGCTGGCCGTGGCTAGGGCGCCTGCGTTTCTTTCGTTTGTGTCTTGTCCTCCTTGTGGTCTTTGTCCCTGTCTTCTTGTATCTCTCCCCTGTTTCTCCCCTCGTTTGTTTTCCTGCCATTGTCGCCCTGTGCAGGTGCCTACAGCGACCTCGAGCTCTACACGCAGCGGCCCCTTGGCTTGCTTGTGGTTGCTGCTTGCTGCTACTGCTGCTGGTGTTGCTGCTGCTGTCGCTGTTGTTTGTTGCTGGCCTGGCTGCTTCTGCTGGTTGCTGCTGCTGCTGCCGGTTGCTGTTGCTTCTGGTGGCTGTTGCTGCTGTTGTCTTCCTGTCGCTGTTGTTCTTGCTGCTTGTGATTGTTCTTGCTGTTGGTGTCGTTGTTGGTGCTGCTGTTGCCCCTTTTTGGTACTCTTTCTCTCTCTCTTGCTTTCTTTCGCCTTGTTTCCTTCTCTTCTGCTTGCCCTCTCTCTCTCCCTGTCCTGCTCGTTGTCTTTGTGGCTGTTTGTCTTGTCTGTTCTCTCTTCCTTGTTCTCTCCGCCTCTGTCTGTCTCTGTCTCTATACTCTCTGACCTTGACCTCTACTCCCTAGCCCGGCCAGCACTATCACTTCTGACTGCGCCAGATTGAAGTGACAGAATCAGTTTGACTCAAAGTATGACTCGCAGTATGAATGCAGTATGAATCAATGAATGAGATAAGCAGGTAGGAAATGGCGGAATGATGGCGGAATATTTGATCTACTTGAGCTGAGCTATGGTATGGTATATCTTACACATTGTCCAGTTGCAGCCGCATCGTCAGCCGCAATTTTTTTTTTGAGCAGCCTTGTAGAAAACAGCCCAGGAGTCACAACCTATATGGTAATCGATCTAAAGGTCCTTGCAAAGAGTTTTAATTGCGAAGACCGTTCATGTTATGCTGGAAAGTAACATGTTTATTCACGAAGAATGGCCGTTTGCGGATAAAGTAATTTTGATCAACAACCATATAACATATGCCAATGTGAATGCGTTTTTGAAGGCTGCTTTATTCTAATTCGCACGTATGCTTGCATCATTCAATGGCATGAAGCGCCGGAGATTGCGGTCAAAGCAAAGGCCTCCCCCATGCTATGATGAAAAAAGAGAAAGTGAGGACGGTCATGTTCTACCACTTGCTGCGAGTGCAGCTGTTGCAGTTGGCGAGAGTCATGCATGTGAGGCGGGCCCTGCAGAAGCGGAAATTGTTGATGCTGCAAACGCAGCCCTTGCTGAAGCTGTGGACAATGATGGGCATGAAAATGCAGATGCCGCTATTCGTTGGCAGTTGCTGAGTAAGTATAAGGCTGTGCAAGGCTTGGTTGCAGCTGTGATTCGTGAGAAGAGCGATGAGGAGCTCCACAACATTTCAATCAACATCATCTTGGACGATATCCAGGCAAAAGCTTCCAACAAAATCAGCATGTCAGAACTTCTGGAGGAGAAAGACGAGTTTGTAGCGGCTACAATGTCCGCAGTTCCAAAAGAGCTATCTCGACGATTGCTTCTTGCTGTGAACAAGCCACAGGCGCATGCCAGGCGACCAGCACAAATAGATTCACAATGTGTCCAAAAGACTTACCTGCTCACCTTCTCCAACCTGGATCCAAGCAATGCTCCCACCAGGGAAACCATCCTTGAGACCGTCTTGCAGGCATTTGGCGCTGCAGGCTATGGTTCGGATGTTTGCGTGACGCATGCCTGCGTCTTCCGGGAGACGCATGGCAGTGGACAGTGGCACTTCCATGTGCCGACAGCATTGTCGCACCCTTGTCGATGGGTTGGATGGAAAAAATAGTTGTCGAAAGCTGGCTACATTGCTCATTTTGCCAACATGGCTATTGATTACCACAGCAAGCACAGAAAAATGCAATATGCCCATATGTTGCGGTACCTCTGGTTGCCATCTGACATGAAGGGCCTGTCCGCCTTGGACAAAGATCCCTTGTTGTGGTGCAGTGGGGGCCGGAAGCATCCGCCTCTTCTAGATGCGATCAATGGGGTCTTGGACAGTACTGCAATTGAAGAGAAGGTGGCAGAGCGTTTTTTGCAGCGTTGGTCTGCGGGCAAGCGTGGGCCATGCAAATTCTCTGACTTGGAGTTATGGCCAATAGTGAAAGAACTTGGGCTCACTGCCGATGACCCTGTCCTGCTTGCTAAACTCCTTCAGCATGGGCGAAATTCCGGAAATGAAAGATTGCTGAACTACCTCTTCCGCACAAACAACACCATCAGAGAGAAGGTCGCCATGTGCTGCACACTAGAATCATGTGATCGCGTCATCGCAGATTCTCAGACAACTACGTGGAAGCGTGTCACTGCCGCCTTGGGGCGACAGTGTTGTTGTGACAGAACTTGGGCACCAGAAGCTCGCGAGATTCTCCGCAACAATAACATTGAGGAGGGGAAGCTTTGCCAACATTTGCGTCAGGCCCTCATGCTGGGCATGCAGAAGAAGGGAGATGCAGTATGCTTCACAGGTTCCGGAAACGAGGGCAAAAGCTTCATTTTGAAGCCATTGCGTGAAATTTTCCAGCGCGTGCCTTGGCTACCGCTTTCACATCACATGGTTTCTGACCCTCACCCGTTTCCCAACGATCATATTTTTTAAAAAGATCCACTTGCGGACAAGTTTCTGCCCCCCGGGGGGACTCAAGTACTATGCACATATTTGTTGATGCCCGAGACGAGTCCAGTAACTGGGAATTGATTCTTGTAACGGGATTTTCACGCCTTGGTACCATCGAGATCTATCAACCTGTAACTATGGGCCATGGGGACCAACAATACCCAACTCTTGCCATGCATTCTTAACATGGTAGACCTTATTTCCTTGTTTGTGGCCTCCCCTTTTTGGACGGCCAGACGTTGATGTGCCCTCCTCAGAGCAGCCGAGGTGTTCGCCTGTCCAGCTCGAGGGTCGTATCCTCTCTTACATTTGCCGCAGTCCCAAGTGGTCATTTTAGATGATTGGAGACCTGACCATGGAGCCTTGGATGTCAGCAGTACCTTATTATGGTTGGAAAGTGCGACGCTACGCATCAATCGGCCATTGAACTTGTACAGTGGCCATTTGGATTTTCGACCGACACAACCCACTTTTCTCACATGTAACTGGCAATCGTTGTTTGTGCCGAAAGGGTGCTGGTCCGAGAGTGAGTTGCTGATGCTCCAGTCCAGACTGACCATTTACCGTTTCCAGCATAGAATCGAAAATTTGAAGGACATCCCGGCATGTCCATGTTGCTTCACCATGTTCATACTCTCTGGAGGGAAAAATGTAGCAAAATTTCTTGTTGCAGGATTCCCGAGTGTCTAGCTGTGTGCTGACTGCACCTAATTAAATGTTAAAGGAGCCGCTGTCACTGGTCCATCCGTTTTGCATGTTTCTCCCGACAACATAGAAAGTACCCAGCCCCATATAAAAACCCCTCGCCCCGAAATCAAAGTTGATTGTTTCATTGGACCTGGATCCGCGGCAGTGACGCTGTACTATATTTGGATGCCAGCAAGTCTCCAGTTTGCGAAAAACAACATTGATTTAGAGGGGCATGGGGGAGGATGATTGTATGACTTCTTTCCCTCTGCCTCTGATTGCATTTCATTGCCTTCGTTTCTGCCGGTGCTTTCTGCATATATCTCTCCGCCTTGTTGCTTCCATTTCTGCAGCTCAGGTTTGTGGCCCATCGCAGACACTCGTGGGGGACAGAAAAAGGGCCTGATTCGGCAGCATGAGCCAGTGTCGTACTTGTGGCCCCTCCTTGTGTGTGTGTGTCTCTGTCTCTACATCACTGTAGTTGCAGCCAGGGGTGCCACCGATTTCCGATTCATTTGCAGTCACTAGAGTTCATTCCTCAAGTGTTTTTGTTTCCAACAATTCCTCTTATGTCATAGCCATGGTTGGCAGGGTTGGCATGCTATTGAGCGTTTGGTGTGCTGGGCCCACTGTTGTCACGTTTCAAAATGCAGCTCTGCTCTGGCTGTATGAATCAGACTGGTTCAAAGCAGCAGGGTTGTAGAAGACGGCGTACCTATTGTTCTCAAAGCAGGTTCAAAAATAGATAGCAACAGGAGACAAGCCATGTAAACTCATGCTACAATACATATCATATAGGTATAGCAAAACCTTCAGCCAGACAGTTTCAGTAGATCCTTTACTCATGTCAGTAGCCGCCGAAGCCGTGGCCTGCTTGGCAGAGAAGAAGGTGACAGAACTCCGAGCAGCCCTTCTGCTGAACCAAAGGCACATACGAAATTGCCAGCAGCAATCTCGCAGAGAAGCTGCCTCGCTGCTCAAAGGCGGCCTTTCTTGCCACTCTGAGCGAAAAGTTTTGGCCGTCTATGCTTTGTCAAACTGGGATTTGAGTTTGGCTCTGCGAGCGGCACAGCGGCTGTCCCGATTGCCCCAATGTTCTGCAGCATTTCCAACATCAGATTTTGTCAGGGCTCTCTTTCGTAACCACAATTGGGAGGACTTTTTGATGTTACATGATGAAGGCTCAGCACTTTGGGGACCTGCCCGAAAGTTTGCACGGCAGTTCCTCCTGGAACACGATGCTTGGTGTTGGGTGAAGCGTCAAAACCTTTCTCAAGGCGTGGCACCATCAGCGGCAGATGTGTTTCATTACTATGAGAACAAGGCGCTTCAGGTGGAACCTTGTGGACAGCCTCGCCGCAAGACTGTTAACAAATGGGTTGCTCGTTGGCGGGCTCGGTGGGGTGTTCGCAGGGCATGCCTGCGGTCAGCTGACACAGTGGATCCCAGCATTTTGCGGGACAAGGCAAGAATGGGCAAAAAAGCCGGGTCGCTTTTTTGGAACCCTTTTTTGGTTGAAAATGCAAGCATCCCTGGTTTCTGGGGCCGCTTTTTGGGACACAAATGGGTCGCTTTTCTAGGGCCCCAAAACATTGTACTTGAGCCATTTTTTAAAGTCTTGTTTGCCACTTTTTTGAGACCCGAATCTTCGTTTTGTTGCCAGGTGAAGGCGTTCTGGAGATCCATTGCCTATGTGACCGAGAAATTTGGCCACCAGGAACTGGTTTGGATCAACTTCGATGAAACTTCTGTTCCTTGCTGTCCACCATGTCCGAAAGGTTGCGTGGTGAATGACTGGAAGTCTTACCCCGTGCCAGGGGGTCCACAAATGCCGGTCCCCAAAAGTCGGCGGAGGATCGCCTACACATACGGGGCCTTGCTTTGCAGTCATCCGGGCATTCAAGCGGTGCTGCCGCACTTCCTGGTTTGCAGCGAGAAGAGGCTTCCCCAGACTGTCGCCAAAGGTTTTGCAGCGCTGCCACCGACGAGGTTGCGGCTTCTTCGCAGAAAATCTTCTTGGGGGACAACAGATTGCATGATCCGAATTTTGGCAGATGTGAGAGAGGCGCTCCAGCCTTGGCTTCCAATGGTTAAACCAATACTCGTTTTGGACACAGCATCTCCTCATCTACCTAAAAGGTTGATGTCTTTTGCCAAAAGGAAAGGTTTTCAGCTTCTTTTTGTGCCAGCTTCCAGCACTGGCCTGCTACAGCCGCTAGACACCAGTGCTTTCAGTGCATTCAAGCATTGGATAAAAAGAAAAAACCACCAGCTGCGGCGCACCGCCCAAGGCGGTGAACCGCAGCAGCTTGAGTTTCTGTGGCAACTGAGCCAAGCTCCTCGAGAATTTTTCGCCAGCAGACAACGGGCCCACGCTTTCGAAAGCGTTGGGTGCGAGCGAGATGTGACAAAGTTGCATTCCGCCTTGCGAAATTTCATGCAGAATCCAGTGTCCTTACCGCTTCCTGCCAAACCCACTCCGGCAGAGATGGCTCTCATTTGGCCTAAAAGGCGAAAGATGAGCTATGCGGATGCATGTTTGTTCTGATAACACCAAAGGTGTTGAAGTCCAGATCTGCTGTTGCAAAAAGGCAGATGCAACCGGAGAGCAGCAAGTGTGACACTGTGAGGGCCCATGGCCTTGAAGCTTCCAAGGTTTCATTTTAGGGGGCTGGAAATGTAGGCCCTGTATCAGTGATGGTTCCAAGCCGTGCTTGTCATAGTATAAACACTACAGGTTCACATAATATATATTTATAAACTGTTTCTTGATACTTTTACCAGAAAACTACCCAAACATCTTCACATGCAACGCAGATGGTACAGGAAATGCATCAGGGCAGCTGGGATGACCAATGGGTTCTGCAGCCTTTTTGCTACAAAAGCCTCAAGCGTTTGGAACCCACCGTGGTTCAGCTACTTCTCTTTTTACCATGTCGGATGATGCAGCTGCCACTGCACCAGCTGCCGCAGTGCCAGCTGGAGCTGCACCACTCACTCGTGGACAAGACCAGTTGCCAGCCTTACGCGCAGCAAGGGCCGTGCTGAAGCAGCAGCTGAAAGAATCGACCAAAGAGATTCGCAAGGAGGCAAATGTTCCGCCCTTGCCATTTTACCCTTGGTGTGGAGAACAGATTTTGGAGCCAAATCCTATAGACACGGAGCAAAATAAAGTTAAAACATTTCAAAAAACTGTTAGGAGCTTGTTGAGCAAATCCCATAGGCACGGAGCCAAATAAGGTTAAGACATCTCAAAATACTGTTAGGAGCTTGTTGGGCAAATCCTATAGGCACGGAGCAAAATAAGGTTAAGAAAGTCCACATAATAAGAAAATGAATAGAATCATCTAATTCTTTTGATTGTGAATTTCTAAGTTCTTAACCTTATTTGCTCCAATTCCATTAGGATTGCAGTCCGGAAGTCTTCCCTGTATTTTTCGAATCCTTAACCTTATTTGCTTCACTTACATTGGGATTGCACTCTGGAAGTCTTACCCTTATTTCGCCACCCCTTACCCTGATTGCTCCATTTACATTAGGATTGCACCACGCAAATTGACACTCACCTCCCGGAGCCTCATCCTTATATCATCTCATCACACAATTTTCAGCATATTGCCGGATGTGGCGGCAGCTCAGCTGCTGGCGGCTGTGGCGGCTGTGGCGGCTGCTGCTGGCTATGGCGGCTGCTCGTGGATGCAGCGGCTGTGGCGGCTGCTGCTGGCTGCGGCTGTGGTGGGTGCGGCAGCTTGGTGGATGCGGGTTGCTATGGCAGAGGCCATCGGCTTCAGCGCCATCACCTGGAGGGAGGGTTCACATCATATTGGCACTTGTTGGCTAGATTTTCCTCCTAAGTTTGCAAGTAGATGAGATTTGGCATTGGGTTGTTGCGGCTGGCCGTGGCTAGGGCGCCTGCGTTTCTTTCGTTTGTGTCTTGTCCTCCTTGTGGTCTTTGTCCCTGTCTTCTTGTATCTCTCCCCTGTTTCTCCCCTCGTTTGTTTTCCTGCCATTGTCGCCCTGTGCAGGTGCCTACAGCGACCTCGAGCTCTACACGCAGCGGCCCCTTGGCTTGCTTGTGGTTGCTGCTTGCTGCTACTGCTGCTGGTGTTGCTGCTGCTGTCGCTGTTGTTTGTTGCTGGCCTGGCTGCTTCTGCTGGTTGCTGCTGCTGCTGCCGGTTGCTGTTGCTTCTGGTGGCTGTTGCTGCTGTTGTCTTCCTGTCGCTGTTGTTCTTGCTGCTTGTGATTGTTCTTGCTGTTGGTGTCGTTGTTGGTGCTGCTGTTGCCCCTTTTTGGTA